AATAACACTGCGTTGAAAAAAAAGTAGATTTTTGTTTGTATATGCTGTCAATTATAGTTCTTAGAAAAAAAATCGGAATTGGCAAAAATCGGTATTGACAGATCACAGTAACAAAAAAATCGGAAATCAGAATCGGCCAAGAAAATTGCAATCGGTGCATCTCTAATATATATGCTTGAGGCTGTGGATTACAGATAATAATGTTTTTGGCTAATTTTCACAAGCGAAATCAAGTCATTTCAATAGCAATCCATGTGATTTTCACACAGATTTTGCAACAAGTTCAAGTAAAGGTCATGCAGATATGTCATGTTGGCCACCAGAAAGCTGCTTGGTTTTGAAGTTGACTTCTGTGAGAGCTGTGTTTCATAGATTGCTACACTATAGACAATAAACAATAGACTTTTTTCACCAAAATTTAACTAATTTGACCACACCTTCAAAGGGAAAGTGCTCTTTACAAAAATAATGCTCGTGAATCGTTAAGTTTCGCTATATTACATTGCTATCCTTTTAAGTTAATGCTAGATTATGATCTAAGAGATACAGAGATAGAGATGACAGAGATTACAAAATACTCAACTACACTAACCCACCCACAGTCATTTAGATTTGACCTCAAGCACAGTACACTGAGTGGAGCAATCATAATGTACTTTGATTGCCGATCTGAGTGCATTCTCCTCAAGAGCACTCAAAATATAGTCTGTATTCCAGATGTTTCTTTAAGCACATCCGGTCTAAAACACCTAATGGTAACTGTATGTGTGTGTGTCTAATTTACAGTACTGACAGATGGAATAATACCTGCCCTTGCTCCTTTTTAAACAGTGACCCTAATTTACAGCAATAATGAACCATTACAGTAATGCAACTTAAAAAAAAAACACTACTCCCTCAACGTCACTTCTGAATGCTCATTACATAAGCTCATGTTTGCATACTGAGCTAATACGCTTAGTCTGTTTTTGAGGTAAAGGCATTGTGCTATTTAAAGACAACCTTTTGAGCAGAGGCTGTAATGCTGCACCTGCCCTGCTTCCAGTGACATCTTTTTGTTGTAATGAACATTGTTGCAAACATAATGAATGAATATATATATATATATATATATGTGTATATGTGCTTAACAAATTTATTAGACCACCCACCCCCACCACCCAATGTAAGGTTTGTGCCACAGCTGTCCTAAACTGTGACACAAACCTTACTAAACTACTTTTTTAAATGTTTTGTTTAGTGTTGTTTACGGATGTATTGTTAATTAGTGTTTTGTTAGGTTTTCTTTTTTGTTGTTACGTTGTAATTGTGATACGTTGTATTTTGGGACCCCCCTCGAAAACGAGATGATACATCTCAAGGGGTTTATTCTAATAAATAAATTCAAATCCTAAATTCAAACTAACAGTATTGGTGATTACCAAAATAATTTTTATGTGTCTGTATTGATTAATCCACCAGTATGTGTAAGTTCTTTAGTCACAGTAGTGTTTCTAATGCTAAAATATAATTATTGTATTAATGCTTTTTTTTGCTGCATATATTATATATACATACATACTATATATGGGTAGTTGACAAATACACCGTAAATGTGTCCTATGGTGTGACAGCATAAATTTTGAAAAAAAAAACTAACAATGAAGATAAATCTCTCTTATGCTATTTGTATATTATTAACAATTATTTACAAGAAATTAATTATTGATAATTAATTATTGTTTTATAAATTTTGCTGTTACACCATAGGACACATAAGTATTGGGACAGTAAAGACAAAATTGCTCCGTTCGCTGTGGAGACAAGAAATCTGTAAATATGATTAAAAGATGGATATGAGACAAAACTACAGAATGTCACATTTTATTATAGGGTGATTCAACACAGATGTTTTACCAACTAAGAAGATCAGCACTTTTAGAGTTTCATCCTCCTATCTGATGTGAGCAGAAGTATTGGGACAGTTGCCTCACAGGTCTTTCTAAGTGATCAGCTGTGTCCTGTTGCATTAATTGTTCAGATATTAAAAGCAGGGAATGTGTCGTATCAGTTATATCCATTGCTTCTGCATTCTTAGTCTTGCATTCGATGATGACACACAAACCAGGATGAAGACGAGGGAGCTGACTTTGAGAGAAACGCAAGCAATTTGGATGCTAAAAGAAAAGAGGAAGTCAATTAGAGCTATAGCAAAAACAAAGGGCATGGAGAAATCAGCAGTTTGGAAACCACCGACCAACCATCAGCAACCAACAACGATCTGATCAGCTGAGAAAAACAACAGCAGTTGGTGACAGACAAATCATAAAAGCTGTGAAAGTGAACCCTAAAATACGTGTTTGTAAAATCACCAACAACCTCCAGAAAGCTGGGGTGATGCTCTGACAATCTATTGTCCGGAGGAGACTTTCACACAGAATTAAACAGCAACACAATAAGATGCAAACCTCTGGCCAGCACCAAAAATAGAAAGGCAAGATTAGAGTTTGCAAAAAAGCACAAAGGTGAGCCAGTAGATTTTTGGAACAGAGTTTTATGGACAGTTGAGACCAAGAGTAACCTTTATCTAAATGATGGGAGAACAAAAGTGTGGAGAAAAAGGGAAGTGCAAATGATCCTAAGCATACAGCCTCAGCTGTAAAGCATGGTGGAGGTTATGTCATGGCATGGGCATGCATGGCTGTCTCTGGAACAGGCCCTCTCAGCTTTAATGACTTAATGTATGATGACAGTAGCAGAATGAATTTGGAAGGGTACAAAACCATCTTGGCTACCAATATTCAAGAAAATGCCACCAGACTCGTCAGAAAGCGCTTCATATTGCATCAGGACAATGACCCAAAACACACTGCCAGTTCAGTCAAGGAGTTTTCAGGGCAAAGAAATGGAAAGTCTTAGATTGGCCAAACCAATCTCCAGATTTAAATCCGATTGACCATGAATTTCACCAGCTAAAGAGGAGACTAAATGCAGAAACTCCCCAAAACAAGCAACAGTTGGAATTGGCTGCATTAAAGGCTGGGAAAAGCATTTCAAAGGATAAGACCAAGAGTCTGGTGATGTCTATGGGTCGCAGACTCACTGATGTGATTGCACGCAAGGGATCTGCAACTAAATAATAGCTTTTAATCTTTTACATTTGCCTTAAATTCAACTGTCCCAATACTTATGCTCACATCAAATAGTGGGATGAACTCTAAAAGTGCTATCCTTTTTATTTGGTAAAACATGTATGTATGAAACGGCTAATGATAAAATGTGACATTCTGTAGTTTTGTCTCATTCATCTTTTAATCATATGTGCAGATGTCCTAACTACACAGAAAACAAAGCAATTTTGTCATTACTGTCCCAATACTTATAGAGGGCACCACACACACACACACACACACACACACACACAAGAGGATAGGAAAAGATTGCAATTGAGGAATGTCATTACTCATCATTATATTTTCGTATTAATCAGTGTTATATTATATGTGACCCTGGACCACAAAACCAGTCTTATCAATGTAAAGCTTATTTATTCAGCTTTCAGATGATGTATAAATCTACATTTTGAAAAATAGACACTTAAGACTGGTTTTGTGGTCCAGGGTCACATATTATATTATATTACATTACATAATATTATATTACATTATTTTATACATTGCGAATTTATGGATTTAATTAAACCTTTTAAAACATTTTGTTGAGTTCTGCTGACAGTTGTAACGCCCCTGTGGACTGTTTGTTGTGGTTTCTTCCCTTTGTGTTGGTTTAGCCCGTCTAATCATTAGTTAATAACCATCATTGTGCTTGGTATTCTTTGTAAAGAAGACACTCCAAGCTTTCAAATGAACCCATATATGGGCTGATACCATATAAGGAAGGCTATGTAAATGAAGCATAAACATTTTTTACGTCATTTTGGACCCGTATCCGGGTCCGCAGAGTTTAACTGGTTTTAAAAAGTAATTTTTTGTAAGTTGTAGTAACTTAATGAAATCCTCTTAAGTTCTCAGCATGCTTTGCACAGAACTGGATAAGTAGAATTTATTTTAAGTTGAAACAAATTATTACTTTTTCTGATTTTAGAAAAGGGAAAGTTAGTATTTATTTCTGTTGTGTCTGACATTTAAAATAGTTTCTCTTATATTCTGTGAAGTTTTTGTGGTTACCATTGTGCTGAAAAGTACAGCTTGTGGTTAGGTTACATAAAGGTATAGGCTATATTGTATGTTGCTTTATGAGCAATCACTTAAAGGGGTCATATGATGTTGCTAAAAATAACATTATTTGGCTTAACTTTTATAAAGAATATCTCTTTGGATTTGAGACTTTAGTCTTTGCAACTTTACAGATCTTCTTTATGCACTAAGAGCTTGTAACACTCCAAAGAGAAAGGAAAAATTGAAATCGCATTATATGACCCCTTTAATGCCATTGAAAATAAGTTGACATGCAAAATTAGCTACATTTAGCATGTGCTATACTAGCTGTTATTTTGAAGTCATATAAATAAGTTGGTTCCAGCCCACCACTCCATTTACGAGTGAATTATATAGAAACTACTATGAGTAGGGACAATTTAATTTTTAAGATTAATCGGCTTAAAAAATGGTGTTTATGCTATAAATGATTAAGATTCTGTTAGTTGAACATAATTTTATTAGAAGTTGTCATAACTGAGCCAAACATTTGTACCTCTTAGCACAGAGATTACAACTGCTGGAGTTGTACATAGGCACCTAGTGTACAAATGGTGCCAAAACAGATGTTTTGAACACATGCTGATAATGGCAAGCTTTCACATGTTGTTTATTTATCATTTGATGCTGATAATGGTAATGGTATGACTCATTTCTGATGGTAGTGCCATTATGGGTCTGCCAGGAAGGACATAAAGGCTATTATGTTATTCATTTGCAGAACCCCCCGAGAATTAATTTAGCTGATTTTAAAATGCACTCCTTTACTGTTCTCCTGAAAGGTGTAATTGTGCCATGTTGCTGTACTGAGAAAAATTACGATCCGTTTATTGTGTCATATGTGTGGTTTATATGCTCTATAATCATTATGTTGTGTTTCAGCACTTTTATGTCTTTATCAAAGTACAAAAAGGGTGTACCAAGTATAACCTAACATAAAACTGTTGTTGTTTTGCCTCATTTTCATCTCTACAGGTGTGTCAGTTTGTGGTGGCAGTTAATGGAATGAATGTGCTGAATCTGGACTACAGGACTGTCAGCAGCCTCATCCTCACTGGCCCCAGAACAGTGGTCATGGAGGTTATGGAGGAAGCAGATTACTGAAGACAGCCACTCTTTAGTGTTTCTGTTCTTCTCTTGTTTGCTTTTTCTCTTAGCTGGACTTTCTTCAGTGAGTCAACGTTCTGTTTAATGGAATGTTCAGAGTAGTGAACTCTTGATTCCGTTCATCATTTTGATTCAAACCATTAACATGACACTAATCCATGCTTTGGAATCCGTGCCTCCCATTGGCTCCTCATTGACTGTTACCGGTCCATGTCAGCTAAGGCTGTACCTGGACAGATGATATGGGAAAAGCAGCTGCCAAATATCATTTTTAGCAGAACCGTAGCATTTAAAACACTCTTGGTAGGTTTGCAGAACCGATGCCAAACTAATATATGTGTGCCATTCAGGTGAGAGCATAATTCAGTGCTCTTTTTCTACTGTTTCATCATTTAGAGTTTAGGCTGTGAGATTTGGAGAGTAAAGGAATACAACATTGTATCAGGCATTTTATGACCTTAGTGTGGTTCGTTTAAAATAACTCTTTTATAATTCCTGTCATGCTTGCCGGGAGTTAGTAAAATAATACATATTGATATATCCATCCGAATTCAGGGAACAACCAACAACAGCACTTACAGACTTTAGGTGAAAGTTGAGAGTGAATGTTTAAAACGCTACGCACATCTGAACGATGCTGTTGTACTGTAACTCATGTCTTGATTTAAAAGTATCTTGTGAAAGTAGTTTAAAGTTTCTGTCTTTTGTCTAAATGCCATCAAAAAGGCAAGTAGTTACCTGTAAAATGTAACAACTAATATTATATGACAATATTGAAAATATCACTTTATAAGAGTTACGGCAGAAATATACTTTACACAAGTTTGTAAATGCAGACGATTGAATAATAACGTGCATTATTATTCTGGATGTGTTTTTATTCAGGAAAGTTGCTAGCTAGCTTAGCGATTATCTTCAAACCTTTAAACTGCTGGTCCACTTTGACAGAGGTTGATATGAAAGAGAAAAGTGATCATAAAAAAATCCTAATTATAAATTGCAGTCACGGTCAGAGACATTTCGGAACACAGAGTTTGTGTGTCTATACGAGTCTGCTTTCACATATTTGCGTAGAGTATTTTTCGGGACTTACTGTTTTAACTTGAAAACTTACTGCCATGAAAAATTTTGCATAGTCATGTAGTGTGTTTATAGAGTAAATCAGTCAATAAGACAAGTCTATGAATTCACTCACCAAATTATGTAACTAGTTTAAGACATACATTTGTAATTCTATCTAAGGATTTATTAGACAAATTGGAAATATACAGTAGTGCTGTATATGCAAACTCCTATATGCATGTGTATTGTACAAAGCAAGCATCTGTGTAAGAATGAAGATATGTCATGACACAACATGATATCTATAATGTGCTCATCTTCCACACATTCTTTCTTCTCTGTGGATTTTTTTTTTTTTTTGCAGGTTGCTTATTGTGCAGTTGTACTCATTTGTATTGATGAGAATGACAAATAACAGTCACATGATGATATTTTGTTCTTAATTGAAGTAGGCTTGAATCTTCTGCCTTAATGACCTGTATTGTGCTGCTAATTCTCACGGCTGGTCATGTAACATCTGAAAAGTCCTCTTTTAAAGACGGTATAGGTGAAGATTTTGGAGGTGATCATGACAATCAGCATCAGAGTAGTCTGCTAAATACTGGGCCAGATATGTGCCACATCTTCCTCACTGCCGGGAAGTCTAAGCTAATCTAATAATCTTATAGTTCTTCTGTCTTCTGTTCTGAAATAGAATGAAAAGGAAAGTTTCATTTAAAACGTAAGTTCAGTGCAGCTAAGTTCAATGCACGTGTGTCTGTTTAAAGGGATAGTTGACTCAAAATTATGTCCTCATTTACTCACCCTCAAACTGTTCCAAACCTGTATGGTTTCTTTCTTCTGTTGCATACAAAATAAGACATTTTGAAGAATGCTGGCAACCAAACAGTTGATGGAAGCCATTGACTATGTAATTCAATGGCTGTTCATGTTATTTATACAGGGTTGGAACAACTTAAGGGTGAGTAAATGATGACAGAATTTTTATTTTTTGGGCAGACTATCCCAAGGGGTAAGTTCATGGTACCATAGTATTTCTTTGTGCAGCTCTTATTCATGATTAATATGTGTTTTGATTAATGTTTTATTAAACTTATTGATTTAATTTCAAAACTGTCTTCTGTGTCTTAAAACCACATAATTGGCATCCTCTCTCTCTCTCTCTCTCTCTCTCTTAAATTTTATTACAAATTACATTTATAATGTAAGATTCTCAATCTGTAACATTTTCAAGCAGAAATATGGACTCCACAGGTTAGTGATAACACTTAAATTGCTCGGTATATTTCTCATTTAAAATTAAAATGAGAAATTACAGATTTTCAGTGTGGCCTCAGACTGTATTAATGTATCAAATGGTAGGCTATTCATAACCAGTCCTGAGACAATAACAATTTGCGTACAGCGATGACGTAATGCTGTTGACATCCTGAATTATTTAGGTTTACTAGTGCCACCTGTTGGTTAATGAGACTTTGCATATTTTATTGATTTTCGAGCTCCAGACGTTGAGGTAAATATACCTTTTACTGTTACTGTTAGGTTTTCGTGTCTTTTATTCTTTTATTATCCTTTTTGTTTTTTGCTGACAGTCGTTTTAGCCTCAAGGTTATTCTTTCTGAGCAACAGTAGATCCATACTTGATTTTTTTATCGCTAGAGGGCAGTGTTACTCTTTGCCTCGTCTGATACCACATTCACTTCACTTTAATTCTGTTGCATTAAAACTGAAAGTTACAAATATTGATCGTCAGCAGCCAGAACAATGTCAAGATGACATTCTTTTAAACAGCGGACCTTCTGTGTAATCTTCTTTGTTAACGCCGCTTTATAAATGCTCCACGTTTTTCATTTCCTGTCTACATGCTTCCTACTGAGGCAGTGTCTTTCCAATTTATATTATAGTGCTCTTCTGTTTTAGTATATTAATCTTACCTGTTGTCTGAATGAAACATAATGTAACCACATTCATTTTTTATTGATTTTTTTAAGCTTAAATGTGCTCTGGTTGTAGGAGTAGACGAGGTGAGTTGTGAGTGTTGATAGCAGTTGGTCTTTTAAGGAAAAGAGGATCTTGGGGAATTCCCTGCACACTATATGAGGTAAGAGCAGACAAACAGACATTTAACCTCTGTCTTAAGTCAACCATCCCCCACTGAGGCTGTTACCTGAGTTTAATAAGTAATACTGAGCTCATTTTTTCTCTACTCATTGTCAAGGATCAACATTTCTTCAACCATTTTAATCGAATCTGACAAGAGCTGAACGATTTACAAGATGTGATTAGAACAGATCAAATAAACCATGATTATTGCAAATCAGTTTAATGGGTGACTAGAAAGTATGTGACAGATCGAAAGTGCATCATTAAACTGCAGAAATTTAGCTGAAGTGAATCAAGTGCTTCAGAACGGCCACATTTGTCTAAGTGACCATGCAGAGGCTTATGTCCTAAAGCTATGCTCTGCTGCTGATTCCCAGAAGTGGGCGGGCAAGGGAGTCTAGATGCTTTTTTAGTTCAGTAGGCCACACAGTTCAGACAACTGATGGATGAACATTATCAATGATCATTATCAACCGCTCCTTCCTTGATAATCCCTCAGTCCCACTCCAAAGCTCTGCCCAACATGTTTCCTATATATATATATATATATATATATATATATATACAGGTGCATGTTGAGATAGTGAATTGGTGGGTTTTTGTTAAATGTGAGCCAAAATCATCACAATTAAAAGAACCAAAGACTTAAACTACTTCAGTCTGTGTGCATTGAATTTATTTAATATACAAGTTTCACAATTTGAGTTGAATTACTGAAATAAATGAACTTTTCCACGACATTCTAATTTATTGAGATGCACCTGTATATATATATATATATATATATTACAAAAAAAGGTTAAAAGATAAAAAAGATTTTAAAAATCCACACATAGCTTACATTTATGCAGTTAACACTGACATTTTATTTAGCTTTCCCCGGGATTTGAACCCATGACCTTGGCATTGCTCTACTGTTTGAGCTACAAGAAAGCATGTGTATATTTATATGTACACATTTCTAAATTTTTAGACGAGTGCATACATTTCCGTTATACAGACACACTTATACAGGCCACATAGCCTACCCCTTGCACTTTTATGAGCATAGACCATTGCCCAGCCCATTTATGCAAGATATCACTGTTCAACAAAGCAGTTATGTGCACTGATTACCTTCACAGACAGCCTGTGGAAAATATTAACCTTTTGTGTTAATGATGAATCTTTTGTGAAACCTCCTCACCGGCGAATCGCATTGAGAGGACTGGCCAAATCTTAAAAATAAGTCTAACAAGGGCATGGCTCATCAGCCCCTTCATCCTATTCAAAAGTGTTTGGAAATCTGCCAGATTTATATGAATATGCAAACTTGAGCCGTATTCCATGTCCTTCCCACTTTGCTAAGGGATGCCATATTAAATAAACACTGAGACAGGCATATTCACTTTATGGATCCAAGATCGATATGCACTGGAATAGTCAATGCCACGGCCGTGACCCCCATGAAGCCTCTAAGAATGTTTGCGTTTTTTAAATCCTAAAGACCTTTGATCATTGAGAGGTGTGTCCATTTTGTTACCATGTGCATCTCTATATGCAATCATCTGAACACTATGTGTGTGTGTTTGTGTGAAAACTGCCTTTATGTACAAGCGTGCATCTGCTTGTCTGCGTGAACTGCTCTTTCCTCTTTCCTGTATCCCCAGGGTCTTGCAGACTCCTCCACACCATCATCTTTTGCCGTATCCCACGGTTAATTAGAAGTCGCTGAGTAATATAAGGTTCCTTTGGAGCCTGCTGAATGAACCCGCTGATTAGCCCACAATGCCTCATTACACTCGGCCTTGTCATTTGGGAATAAGCCATTCAGCGTTAAAGAGCTTACAGCCACTGCATCTCGGCATCCAGGTGTCACCGTTCCAGTCCCGCGCTGACTCTGTACATTGAAGTTGATAAATGCTGTATACGCTGCAAGCTGGGCTGCTTTCAATGAACCATTTATTCTGTGAAGAAGTTTTTGAAAGTCTATAAGATTCTTTTCGAAATCAAAATGTACTCTTTCTTTTGAAGGATGAGTTTGCGATAAAGTGCTGTACACTTTCCTGCACTTTAATGCTCGGTGGTAAGCGAGAGCACAAGACTTGTCCTCATGAGAGATTCAGAGTAGTTTAAAACACTTCATGCACTTTTCAACCATATTTACATATTGTTATTGGTTGTAAATCGATATTCGGCAGCCATATTTGTTTGCACTGAAATCAACAATGTGAACATAAACATTTGCATATACTCTTATAACCTTCAAAAACATGGTGAATGATCATATGGTGGGGTGTTATGAACCCTTGATCATTTCTGTAATATATTTACTCATCAGATGAGTCATGCAAATGAAGTGGTTCATTCAGACTGCAAATCTGCGGTCTCGTGGGAAGTGCCGCCAGTGTGATGGCCCATGGCAATCAAATAATGAATAACAACAGTCAAATATTCTTTCATCCCCATAACCAAGCTGAATATGGATTACAAGAATGTGGTTACACACATTTTAGGTTTTTATAACTCTGGCAAACCTTGGCCAAGAGAACACCTGTTTAGTACTCCTTGGTGATAAGTGTGAATTTGGTAGATTTCTACAAGTGTTGGGTCATGCAGAGAACTTCCAAAATAACATTGCACTCTGGATTCTGTCCAATCAGCAACCTGCACACAGTAAGAAACGTCTCACGCACAATCTCACATATCTTTCACATCTCTTCCTTTCAACACTTGTGTACATTCAGATAGCTTTGTTCCCTGCTCAACTTGAACTGATATAAGAAGGTGCATGTGTTACCGAAAGGATAAAGTTATTTTCAGTGTGCTAGGAGAGAAAACAGAACACAAAGAAATACAATACGATGATCAATCTAAAATACAAGTACTTCCAAAGAGAATGGAAGTGCATATTGTTTTGAGATATTTAAGCTTTTTACATTGAAACTGCTAGGTTAGCTGAACCCAATGTGCAATTATGGAGTATTGGAGGGTTTGACTCTCCAAATTAAGATGTGAAAACCCTAACAAAAAGTTTTGAAAGAGTATGTATTATATGTATTATCTTACACTTAAAATGCCTATATACGCTATGATTCAACAGTTTCAGAAAATTTTCTGAAATTACACACGTTTTGTTTCAAAAGTTCGTAAAATATGCTAATTCACGTTTAACTATGACAGATAATAGCCTACTAACAAAAATTATTTTAAAATTTCAAAAGTAACTGAATAATTGCGCACACTGACTGATTCAATTAATTTCAGTTAGTAAAATATAATTATAGGCAGTGCCATAACAGTCAATTGAATCATCCATCACCCTGGTGTAGGCGTTATGATTGTTCATTACAGTTGCATTCCCTTGAAATATAATGATAATGGCTTTTCTTCCCCGCGCTGAACAGCCTACACGTAGGCAGGATCAAGTATTTGAGAAGGGCTCTTGATTGTCGTGAGATCATTCGTCGTCTGTCCAGTGGCTGCAATTGGTCGCATGAACGTTTTTTTCCCCCGGACTCAAGACTAAAGGATGAAATGAGGTGCAGAGCTGAAGAGCTGAGGGAATGGACGAATAAAGACAGACGAAACACGCACACGGAGAGCGCTGCGAGAAGATACGAGTGAAGTCTGACCATCACAAGACGCTGGAATTTGGATCCCATTTAGATCAAGTGGATTTCACTGAAGCGAATGGTGTGAAAGGTAAGACTGCTGTCGGATTTCATCTGTTACATTCTCT